TCCACAACCTCCCAATACGAGTTGGTGAGACCAAAGTCATAGGTGCTTACCCGATCGATATGTCATACAGTTTTACCATAACGCATTTCCGCAAATTCGAATTTCGTCGCCAGTAGGATTCAAACTCTTGTCCTGCCGCTTGGGGGTGCGACAACTTACCAACTACACTAAGTCGCCACACCCTTCAAATTTATTTTTTTATCACTTATTAGTGATTTCTCTTATTATTCTTTATTAAATCATGTCTACATCCATTTATCAAATAAAATTTTTTGAAACTTTTTAAAAAATGAGCTAATAAAGTAATTATCTATTTTATAAATAATTCATAAGCTAAAGTGTTTTTGGTATAAAAACAGAAAAGTTAGATTGTGAACATATTATAAATTTATTAGAAGATATTTCAGATGAAAATATTGATAATGATTATAATTTACATTTTCAAGAATTGAAAAATATTGACAAGATATTTTAAACAAAATATAATTTTTGATATAAATTATAAAATAATGAAAAATTTAAAGTTTTTAGTTAATGTAATGAAGTTGTGTCAAAAAATCTATCACTCTTTTTGATGATTACTTGGTCAACAACAATTTATTGAACTATAGTCAGCAATATAGGAAAGTGACATAGTGTACACAACAATATTCTTGGTTTTGTGCTAAGCAAACTTGTTGTCAACAATGCTTACAATATGTAAAACACCGAGGAGTAGGCATATAAGAATATTAGATGGGTTTGTGCCTTAGGTCAAGTTTTTTCTTCTAGACAGACTCTCTCACATGTTCAGTATCCAAACTAGAAGGTTTATTCTAAGAGCAAGTTGAGCAAAATCTCTGGGTAAGAATATCAAGTAGATACTTAGAAACTGGACTATACAATTGTAAAACTTACAAGAAGAACCTTACATATTCTTATTGACCCTCTACTTTTTTTTCAAAGAAAATTTTGTAAAAAAGTGGGTGATTTAGCTTACCCTCTACAAAAGATCAACGTATTGTTTACTTATCAAATCAGTCAGTATAGTTTACTTTTTACCTGTTACAGCAAATATATGGATTCAAATAGAACGTGAACATCTGGATTACATGCTTCAGAAGTGTCAATCCGGACAAACAATGCTTCAAGACCAACTGTGCAAATTTTTGACTTCTCTATAGTACCCAAAGTGCGCTTTTGTTTACACTTCTATGGGAGTTTAAACAAAAGAAGCTGGAGAGCTTATAGTGCTAGAGTACAGTGCTGATGTCGAAGAGTTTTTTTTTTTCTTTAGGTTTTCTGCTTAAATATACTAATTAGTTAAATTAGAGTAGAGACTAGTTTAGATAGTAGTATTAATTTTTACAAAGCCTGACATAGGCTTATAATTGTAACTGTCCGATGTGGATGAAATATCTCACACTTTTTTTTTTTTCATTTTTCCTTTACCCCTTTATTTTCTTGTTTGTATTGTTTATTATATCCCTATACCTCTGTGTTTTTTTTATATATATATTTTTTACTTTTCACTTCTCTACGAGAAGATGTTATCAGATTGGTGGTATCCTATTGTAGAATGGTAAGTTGAATGAGTTCTCCGATTAGGGTATTACCTTTTAGTTTTATCTCGCCAATGTAGCAGGTTGCCAATAGGCACTCTTTGAAGCAGCTGTAGAATGTCAGAATCATAGCTTTAATGTTATAGTTATATATTTATAATCTTTCACAAAATTGAGACTTTATTAAACATTAATTACTAGTGCGATCTTGCCTAAGTGAAAAAAAAAAGTAATGAAGTTGTGTAAATAGTAATATTGAATTACTTGCAAGAAGCTACTTTATTGTATTAGCATGACATTAAATTTTAATAGATGCCTAATAAATTGCTAGCAAATGCTAATTAATATTTTATATTAGCATAATTGAATATTATTAAATCTTAATAATTTAAGCTTCTGTATTTTTAATAAATATGCTTTTCATAGAATAAACTCAAAAAACATTAATAAATGCCAATTTATTTTATAATAAATTTAAGAAGCAAACAAATTAGAAAATATAGGTTGAATATATAATAGGTAATATAAAAGATAAAGTAGAGGTATTTATTATAAATAATTTTTTTGTTTAATTAATATAAAATCAAGCAGGTCTGATCAATTATTATTATTTTTATTAATCAGAATAAGAAATACCAGTATATCAACATCTTTTTAAAATTTATATAAGCTAGATATTAATGATTTAATATATAAAAATACTTTATTGAATAGTGTAGTCAACCTTGGCTCTAATCAATTTCAATTATTTTGATTTATTTGTGAGAAAAAAACAGAGATAAGAAGATTATATAAAGGTGATTTAATAAAAAATATTTGTGCTGACTTTGTTAGAAGAAAGATGAATTTCAAGTAATGTATAAATTAGTAGTAGTTGAAAATGTAAATATAGTTTATTATTATTAAATTAAATAAGAAATTGATAAAGTAGATTGTAAGTAATATTACTGATTTATTATACAGTTAATAAAATTAAATTTCTTTTATTAAGTTTCTAGAGGCTCTGAGAATTTGCTTATAGAAGTAGTAGCTCAACTAATCGAAGTAGCTATATATCAATTACTAATTAATAGAGAAGTTGAGATAGCAAAAAACAAATGACAAAATGTGGCTAATAAAAATCATAAAGCTAAACAGAAAAATAGTGCAAGGGCAACAAATCAGATTTTATAATTCAAGCTTTGCTAGGCCAAAAATAGAACAAAATTATATATGCTGAAAGTGGTAAATGGAATTGTAATAAAGATAAAATACTTGAAGATTACAATAAATTAATGAGATTTTATATAAACAGATACAAGACAATTTCAAAAAAGCATATAAAAAATGTTCTACAAAAGAACTACATTACTTTCAAAAACAATATTGTATATAAAATTATCAATTATATCTACTTATTCAAATTGGCTAATAATTTATAAAAATATCATTAGAAGATAATATAGTAGTTCATGGATTAATCTGAGAAAATAAGTAAATATTATCTTCCAATTGCCAAAACAAATTTTATTAAGATCTGAATCTATTAAAGAGGTAGAAGAATTTATTCATATTTTAATGACTATATAAATAAGTATAATTTTGTTTTAAAACTTATCAAAAATTAGTAATTTGCTAATTAGAAAAAGCTTATTTGCAAAATGGTTTAATTGCAAAATAATTTAATTGCAAATTTGTAATGTTTAATTTACACTACCCAAAAAAGACAAGAAAGGTAAGTGAAAGAAGTTTTTCGTATAAGAGATTAAATAAGAAAAAAAGCAAAGAATTTGAAAAAGGATAATTTTATTTCTGTAAATTATTTTATTTTTTATATTAATAAAGCTGACTGGGTAGCCAATTTTGCATATACTGTATAATTATGTTTACTTTTGTATATATATTTTATGTGAATTATGTGTTCTTAAAACTAGCTTCACTATTTTTCTAATATATTGCTATTGATGATGCATATATAATAAAAAATTTTTAAACAATTCTTGATAAAAATAATTAGTATAACAAATTATCACATGCATACTAGCATAAAAAAAACATTAAATATCCTGACAAAGTTTCAATCATTGTATTTTTTTTTATTTCTGTATTAATAAAGCAAATCCTTTATATTTACAACATAACATTAAACAATTCACATTTTTGTATAAAATTTTATTAATCATGTCAAGCACTCAACTCAATGATTCATTAAGAGAATTAAATGCCAAGCTTTTAGCTGAGATTTGTGAACTTAGGAAGAAGGTTGCTGAGGATGAGGTTGAGAAAACAAAACTGAGACAGGAGCTTAAGACCAGAACTGAGGAGCTAGAGGAAACTATATCACTGAGATTGGCAAACTTAACACCATAATTGAAGAAAAATAAGACAGTTACAGCTAAACTCAAATCTGAAAATGCAGAGTTTAGAAATAGGATCACAAAAGTGGATCAGAAGCAGATGCTAAGTGATAATGTTTCTAAGGTGACCAATTCTTCTAATAACGCTTGCCTAACTTCAATTCATTTGCAAATCAGTTACCTAAAGAAATGGATACTTCACTACCCAAAGAATCGATTCCAGAGGTGATTGCAAAGCAATTGGTATTAGCTATTAATATATCCATTATGGATCAATATAATCAGATGTCCTTAGAAGATAAGGAAACAGATGCTTTCTTGGATGAAGTGCATAAGAAAAAGATTAGTGATGAGATTAAGCAATGCAATAGGAAGAAGAAACTTCAAACCCAAGAGTCTCTTCCAATATCTTCTGAAGAAAAAAGGCCTCAAGTTCTCAACTTGACAACTTAGCCATGCAATAGCACATCATCGGAAATACAGTCATCCCTCATTAATATCAACCTATTTGGATCACTCTTATATTCATGTTGATAGTGATAATAATGAGGGAACATATTAAAGTTGATATAAAGTTGATATATATGAGGGAATTTCAATATAATTTTAATATATAAATGTTCATTGTATAGCCTATGTTGATATTAACGGGGTTGATATTAATGAGGGATGACTGTATTAGCTAATTCAGATGGCGAGGAAGTACCTCCAGAAAAAAAGATATGTAGTGAATAGGATTCAAAGTGCAAGAATGGAAGGGTGTGAATAAGCTTAAGCAAGAATTATTTGCTCCGAAGTTGTCTATACAAGATCCATCAATAGAACAAAATCAGCCGAAAGGTGTGGAGGATGTGACCGAAATTTCTGAGACATTATGTCCCAGAAAACTTGCCTCTGATAACAAATCTAGCATTGATGAGGCCTCACATCATCTAGCTCAGTTATGCGATAAAGCTTTGATGCTGAAGATAAAGCAAATCGAGCTAATCAGAAAGAAATTTTATGTTGGTGCCTCTATGTGAAGGATTTCATAATTCGGCTCAATGGAATTATAGAAATAGTAGAGGTAAATTCGGTGAAAAGAAGGCAAGAGGCTTACTGTATAATTCCATTACAAAACAGCTTAATTTGCTTCGTAAACAGAGATCCCAAGAAATGGGGTTACAACTTCGAGATGTATCATGAAATAGTTTGCGCAAGAAAACTCAGAGAGCTGAGAAAGTATATAAATTTATCGAACGAGTGGGCCTAGATAAAATCAAGTATATTAAATGTCGCGGCTGATGCTGAAATTGGCTGATGCTAAAATTTGGACCTATTTTGATACGAAATTTTAAACAAATTTTGGGGTGTTT